TGGCAGTGTTTGTTGTGTTGCCTGGTGACAGCTCCCGTATTAATTAGCAGTCATCGTATTACACAGGCCGAACTTCTGATCATGTGCATGTGAGGAAACACCTTTCTTTTTGTTCAACCACTGCTTTTAAATGAGACATTGCAAGTTTTTCTTTCCCGACTTTTCATGACATCTCACGTAGTTTCAAGAGTTTTCTGGTCACCTTGAGTGGTGAGATGAAGGCTCGTTCGCGTATTCCAAAATCCAATCTACTGGAAATCAAAGCTTGAATCTTACATCCTCATGTTTCTTCCCTTGACTCAGCCCAAATGAAGACTAACTTGTGGCTCAGAGACCCACGGCAGCGAAGGGAGAAGAGTCCATTAATAGCAGCCATATTGTACTTACGTTTTAAGATTTTAAAGGCAGTGGAGTTATTTTTTGAAATGTCTGTTTTTTCTCAAATAAATTACTAGGATGTTAGAACCGATACCTTCTTTTTCTTTTGAAAACGACTTTGTATAAGTAGAGGCATTCTCTTTTACTTTAATGAGTGGGTTTAATTTTAAAAATTATTTTGATTGGCTAAGGATATTCAAGTTACTCTTCTAATTTTAGCATCACAATGAAAGTAATAACTGTCACATAGATGTTCGTATGATGTCAATATTAACGTTTCTCTGTTAAGAATTCCTTTTATTTTTTATCTTTTTTAGTTTTAAAATGTTTTGGCAGCTGGCCAGTATGGTGATCTGAACCCTGGACCTTGGTGTTAGGAATTCTCTTTAAATGCTCACTCTATTATCATATTTTTATCCCTTATATTTTACAGACAAACATTAAAGTGTTTACAGGTGTATTTGTATGATTTCTGAAATTCATTTCTCAGTAACTCACTGGTGAAGTGGAGAGGAGCTAATGGGAGTGCAGATAAAACAACACTGGCCATGAATTGACAACAGTAGGATCTAGGTGGTGAGTCCGTGGAAGTGTATTATATTATTCTCTCAGATTATGCATATGTCTAAAGTTTTTTATAATAACAAAACTCTGAAAGCTCACCTTAGACTGCTTGAGTAAACTATAATATATCCACATAATGAAGTGCTACACAACTGTAAAAAGGAACACGAAGTATCCCTATCTTCTATACTGGAGTAATCTTCAGGACATAATGTTGAGTGAAAAAAGCAAGGTGCACATAGTATGATACCTCTCATGTTAAGAAAAGAGAAGTTTCACATACAAAATGTTTACATTTT